AATTTGTTCCTTTATTCAAAAACTATTTATTAAGTCCTTATGTGGTGCTATAGTAAAAGCACTGGACTGTTAATCACAAGCTTGGTGGTTCAAACCCACCAGCCATTTCTTGGGAACTGTATACTGGGTCACTATAAGTCAGAATTGCTTCAGCAGCACTTAACAACAACAACAACCACATACGCCAGACACAGTGACTAACAATGAATAAACAGATAACCTTGTCCTTGTGGAATATTCACTGATACTAGGTATAGGCCTTTGTTCTTCTGAGTGAACAATTTACTTTGAGCAGATGTTTTGGTTAGGACATGGGGAGGCGGGCTAAGATTACAGCCTGCTGGGGCTTTCATGTGCCTCCCAAGAACGGAAGTGATGCTGAATGGAGAAGTCTGAAAATGGCAAGCCCCATACTCTGTGTCTAGGTTTTATTGGAAGCTAACGTTTGGAGTCAAAGCTCCATGCTCTTTTTTCCAAGGCTGCGTTCACCTGCCTTCCCTGGGACATTCGGAAACATGAGCTGGGAATCACCAACCTCAGGGTTGTTGGGGCTGAGAGCAGGACATGGCATAATGCTGATGTCTGTGTGTAAAAAGCCACAATGGTCCACAAAGATCAACTGAGGTAGGTGCAGTGCTTTGGCAAGGCAGTGGCTTCTCTCTGAGACACACTGAAAGACAGTGTGCTAATGTTCACTGAGATGAAAAGGCTGGAGGGACAAACAGACCTGCTGTTGGTTATTGAACATATGCCTTATTGAACACATGCCTTAAGGTGTAGACAACTGCTAATTTTCTCTAGTGCCTCCTAGACTTTCACTGGGTACCATGATGTTAATTATAATGGTGCTCAAAGGGCACTAACAAATTCAGGAATACCTACTGAGCCCCAAAATAAAGACAAATAATTCATCAGGATGTTGATTTGCATGATCACGTTTCAGATGGGAGCCAACAGAGTAGCCCTTTGGGAAAACAAAGTGGCAAGACACATCAAGTCACAAAAAGATCCATATTCTTGGACCCAGGTATCTCACTCCTGAGAATTTACCCTGAAGAGATTTTTTTTTTTTTTTTTTTAAATTAAGATGTATACTAACTGAAACCACCGACTTTAGTATCAGAGAGATCCAGGTTTTGAGTTTATTAACTGCCACTTAAACCAACTACAGGAACTTGGATAAGTTACTTCTCAACTTCTCTGAGATTCTATTGTTGTTGTTAAGTGCTGTCTAGTCCGTTGTGTTGCACGGTGACCCCTGTGCATAACAGAACAAAACACTGCCCAGTCCTGTGTCATCCTCACAGTTGCTGTTACCACTGTGTCAATCCATCATGTTGGGGATCGTCCTCTTTTACTGACGCTCCACTTTATCATGCATGATGTCCTTCTCCGGGGACTGGTCCCAGTCAGAAGTATGATTCCATTAGGAGAGCTCAATCTTTGAAAAAGGGCATCATGTTTGGTGAAGTTTAGGGTCAGAGAAAAAGAGAGAAACCTTCAATGAGAAGGGCTGACAGTGACTACGGCAATAGGCTCAGTATAACATCATGTTATACGTAAAGTCTCTCAGACTCAGAACTGACTTGATGGCAACTAACAATAACAAAGGCAGAGATAACAATCTTTCCTACTTCACAGAGTTTTGTGTGAAATAAGATAACGCAATCGAGAACAGCAGAGCATCTGGCAGATAGTAATCTCTCTAACATACAAATGTCTACTTATAAATTATATTCAGATAGCAATATACTAATACTACTTGTTATAGAACTGACACAGAAAAAGAAAATTATCCAGAATATTTGCCATTAAACAGAAGTTCTGGTATTTTCTCTATATACCCCAGTGGATATTGCGTGCACTTGCTTACGAGACCACAGACTCACACTATAAGTCCAAGTGCATTTGTGTGGCTTTCAAAGCTCTTATCTCTGGCCTCTACCTCTTTGGTCTGCTTTCCTCCACTTGCTCCTAGTACTTTGGTCAATGGAACAATTTGAACGTGAAGATCCCTAAACATGTAGATTTGTGCTTTGTATTTGCTGTTCTCTGATTGAAATGTTTTCCCTTGCCTTGGCTCCTCAAACCCAAGTTCTTCTACCTTATTCATTCCACCAACTGTAATTATCCTTCCTCTGGGAAAGTGGTTTTTGGTTAGTTCTCCTCCATAATCCACTCACACCCCACTCATTCACATTTTCCTCTTCAGTATCATGCAATACTTACTATCTGGCTCTCTCATTAGGTTGTGAGCTGAGGGCTAAGCCGATCATTCGTTTTTGAGTTGACAATATCTGATAAACAATATCAATCACAATAATAATAGCAAATACAAGGGGCTTCAGAAAGTTCATGGAAAAAATCCGTTATTTTTTTTCCCATTATCTTTTCATTCTGTTTTTCCATGAACTTTTTGAAGCCCCCTTGTGATTTGATACTATTTATCTCTGTCAGAAGGCGCTTTGGTGGCACAGTGGTTAAGCACTCGACTGCTAACCAAGAGGTCAGCATTTCAAATCTACCAGCCACTCCTCAGGAGAAAGATATGGCAGTTTGCTTTTGTAAAGACGTTGTTGTTAAGTACCATCAAGTGAGTTCTAACTCACAGCAACCCAAGAGCGTCTGATGAGTTTGAACTACACACCTTGCAGTTAAAATCAACCTTGACAACGAGTTTTTATCCTGTGGTGATGTCACAAGATTACAGCCTTGGAAACCCTATGGAGCAGTTGAACTCTGACCTACAGGGTTGCTATGAGTTGAAGTGGAATTGACTCTAAAGCAATGGGTTAATCTCTGCCAGGCATTACTCCAGGAGTTATACTAATCCATTGAGATCGGTACAATTATTCCCCCTGTTTTGTGAACAAGGACTGTTAGACACAAACCCTGATCTCACATGGATTATGTAAAGCTCAGGAAATGCTGATTTCATCCAAATCCACTGCCAAGGAGTCGAAATTGAAGTGCATGTTTTTAGAGACTTGTAGTCCTCCTGGCCCAGACTGATGATTAGAAAACGCTGACTGAGAAAGAGCCTTGGTGTGGAAGAGGACCTGAGCCTATGCTGCCCCCTGCTGGCCAGCTGTCTTTCCTGTTGTTGTTGTTGTGATGTGCCGTGGAGTCAGTTCTGACTCATAGCAACCCTGTACAGAAGTTTCCAAGGCTGTAAATCTTTACAGGAGCAGAAAGCCTCATCTTTCTTCCGCGGAACACCTGGCAGTTTCAAACTGCTAACCTTGTGGTTCACAGCCCGATTCGTAACCACTACGCTACCAGAGCTCCTGTCTTTCCTGTAGGCTTCCTGTATTTCAAAACCCCGGAAGGGAAACAGATGTATCTCTGCCCACCTGAATCTCCGTTCTGAGGACTAGTATAAGAGGTTCTGAAGGAGAAAGCGTGGCAGAAGATCAGACAAGGAATATTCAAAGGTTTCCTTTCAATCTACATACCTCAAGGACTGCCTTTCTTGTAGGAAGAAGTTGATGAAATCATTCACAGATCTGAATTGGGAAAGTGTCTTAGTTTCCTAGTGTTACCATAACAAAATATCATCAAATGGGTTTGCATTAAAGAACAGAAATTGATTCTCTTACAGGCTTATTGTTGCTGTTAAATGCCATTGAGTTGATTACAACTCACAGTGACCCTGCACAGAGTTTCTAAGGAGCGGCTGGTGAGTGTGAACCACCGACCTTTTTGATTCAAGCCAACCTTTCTGTCCGGTGCTTAGCCAACAGCACCACAACCAGGTCTGAATGCAGGTCACTAGCAGGACCATGTTCTCTCACTCTCTGTCCACTAAGGGGAGACTCTTCCTTGTCTCTTTCAGTCACTATAGCAGCCTGCCCTACTTGGGAGTTCCTTGTCTAGTAACCACATTCTCACATGCTGTCTTCTTCCTCACATGTCTATTCTCTCGGCTGTCAACCTCAAGGTCAGTAGTTCGAAACCACCAGCTGTTTCGCGGGAGAAAGATGAGGCTTTCTGGTTCCGTAAAGATTTGCAGCCTTGGAAACCCTATGCTGTGTCGCTATGAGTCGGAATGGACTCCATGGCACATCACCACCAATCATAGGATTAGGGTTAGGACCCACCCTATTCTGGTATTGTTGTTGTTGTCGTTAAGTGCTGTAGAGTCGGTTCTGACTCATAGCGACCCTGAACAGGGTTCCCGAGGCTGTAAATCTTTACGGGAGCAGAAAGCCTCATCTTTCTCCCGCGGAACAGCTGGTAGTTTCGAACTGCTGACCTTGAGGTTCACATCCCTATTCGTAACTACTACGCTATCAGAACTCCTTATTCTAGTATTACTTAACTGATACTATCTTCAAAGAAAGCCCCATTTCCCCAGAGTCATAGGCTTAGTGAGTAAGATTTCAACATTAAAACCTCTGTCCCCAAATGCCATGGAATGCACACACCCACACTTCAATTGAAATGTTCATTGAATATTTTTAAGGTAAATATGTGGACTGGTCCTACCTTTGGCTTTACTTCTATAAGAGAAAGATGAGGCTTTCTGCTTCCGCAAAGATTTACAGCCTCAGAAACCCGTGCAGAGCCGCTATGAGTTGGCACTGACTCCGCGGTACTTAGCACCAACAAGACTCTTTAGGATGGAAATGTGCTAATAACAGTAACTGCTTCCCAAATAGTAGTTGTTGTAGAGGGGTGTGGAAAGTGGATGGTTATATTCTGTGAAAGCAGATCCAAACTGATAAATCGAGTGACCTGAGGTGGCCAGAGTTCGCTTTCCTCTTCGCAGGGTCTTTCCTTCGGGTTTAGAGCAGCAATGTTCGCGCCTACATACCCACACCAGTGCTAGAGTTTCTCTCAGTTCCTAGAGGCCCGAGCGTACACACTAGCACCCCCTGCCGGCGCAAGCACTCAGGTGAGCACCGTTCTAGCTAGGAGCGAAGCGGAACTCGCGCGCCTGCGTGCAGGTGAGCTGGCCTCCCTGCCCCGCCCCACCCCACCCCAGGGCTTTGCCACCTGCCGGGGAAACTTTTGGTTGGTTGTTGCCCGTGGGGTCACTCCCGGGAGGGGACACGGAAGTTGGCTATGGAAGAGCCTTCCAGGGCCCGAGAACCCCGGGCACGACCAAGAGAGCGGGACCCGGACCGGCACCTCCGCCCGAACCGAGACCACCAAGCCGAGCGACAGAGAGACAAGCCCAGAGACAGGCGTCGGGAGCGAGAGTGGGACGTGCGGCGGAATGCGGACCAGCCAGGGGATCGGGACCGAGGGAGAGATCCCCGCCAAGACAGACACAGGGCAGGGAGTCATCGCCCAGATGAACAAAGAGTTTGGGGAAAGTCCAGCCAAAGCCAGACGCGGGCTGGACCCCCAGGGTCGAGCTGGGAGGCGGCCCCGCCCCCCTGGCCCTCGCCCTGGAAAACCCCGGAGCCTGAGCCGTGGCCCATGAAAAAGCAGGACTTTGAGCGCCGGGCACCCGACAGGTGAGTGGGTGGTGGGGGAGCACAGGCACTGCAACCTCCCGGTCGGGCCGAGGAAGCTCCAGCCAAAGGGCACCTGTCCTGAAGGAAGTCGGTTTAAAGGAAGACAGTGCTATTCCTCCCTTCGCGCTCTTAGTGGTGACCTGGGAGGGCAGAAGGACCTTGCGGTGCTCCCCTTTCTAGATTCGAACCCGATCAACACAAAGCAAAATCCTTGCTGGCAGCGGTCGAGTCGAGGATCAGGTAGAGAGAGGTCTTCAGAACGGAAGTTAGGTAGGTGGGATTAACCTGCGGCCCCTTCCGGTCCTCCACCCTGAAGTGAACACAGGACTGCCCCTTGGGCACCAAACTCTTGTCCTGTGTCCCAAGATCAACATTCCCTAGTGGCGCAGCGGGCTGTTACCGGAAAGGTTGGCAGTTCACATCCACCAGCAGCTCCACCTCCACTGATGATGTAGTTGTTATTGCTGTTGTTATGTGATGTGGAGTCGGTTCCGACTCATAGCGACCCTGTATAGGGTTTCCGAGGCTGTAAATCTTTACGGGAGTAGAAAGCCTTATCTTTCTCCCGCGGAACAACTGGTAGTTTCGAACTGCTGACCTTGTGGTTCGCAGCCCGATTCGTAACCACTACGCTACCAAAAGATTTACCGCTTCAAAACCCCTAAGGGGTAGTTCTACCTTGCCTTATAGGGTTGCTAGGAGCCAGAATCTACTCCACTACCCGGGGTTTGGGGTGGACCTGTATAACAGAGAATTCCCATAAACCCTTGTGAGGTGAAAGAATCAGGATGTTCTGGAAAGACTTTGTGAGATAGGAGAGGGTCTGGATGGGAGGAAGAGAGATGATTTCGTTTTCCCCCACCCCTACCCCTATCCCTCCTACCCCACAAATGTCTTTGAATGCCCTGTCAGCTCCACAAGGAGACAGCCAGGTCAGGTGATGACTGCCAGCTTCTCTTTGACACCTCTTGTCTCCTCTAAGGAGATGTCAAGCTCCTTTGTGCTGTGGGACCCGGAGGATTACCAGTCTCTCTCCCTATTGTGTGCACACAGCTGGAAAGCTACTATCCTGAGTTTATATTACTTTATCTAAAACCAACTACAGTGACAATGGGTGTGCCCAGATGTAGCCTTTGTTTCCCAGGTAAAGTCACTCTGCCTTGCAACTGTGACCTGGGAGAGTCCAGAGATTCATGTTTACGTTTCCTTATAAACTGCAGACCCAGTCCCTAAACACCCTTCTCTGCACTCCTCAAAGAGGGCAAGTCAAACGGATACTTTTGCTCAGTGCCAGTTGGTGTTTTGAACCAAAGGGCTATTTATTTCTGTCTTTCGTCCATTTAATGGGTGGGCTGTTGGGGCTGGAGTTACAGAGCCCCCTCACCCCATGTGATCACAGTGTGGTAGTGCAGAAGACTGATGGGTTAATGAACTGGGTCACTACAAAGCTACCTCTTCAGGGCCAGGGAGCCAGGACTATTTCCCAGGGGAGATCACCTCAAAGTTGAGCTCTGGAGAAAAGAGTTAAGAGGAGGTGAGGCTGGGAGAGGAAGATAAAAGGTGTTCCAGAGGAAGAGTTTCTGCAATTATCCAAAGGCATGGGAGAGCAGGACAAAGGCAGTTCACTATAGGTCTTGAATGTAGAGAACGGAACAAGGACCTCTTGTGCCATGCTAAATGCTTAGACTTTAATTACTAGGACACAAAGGTTTAAGGAATTAAATCCAAGAAAGGCATGAAACGGAGAGGGGGTGGCGTGGAGGGTGAGATCTGTTTTAGAAGACTCCCTGGATCCCAGAGAGTAGAAAGCCTTCCTCCTCCTATCTTAGGCTGGATTCTCAAGAGAAGCCAAACCAGTGCAGCTTCATATATATATAAAGAAGGAGCTCTGTCTGAGTAGCGGTTAAGAGTTGGGCAGCTAACTTCAAGGTAAGCAATTCAAAACTACAAGCCATTCCGTGGGAGAAAGAGGAGGCTTTCTGCTCCCATAAAGGTTTACAGCCTGGGAAACCCTATGCAGGGTTGCTATGAGTCAGAACTGACTTCATGGCACACCACCACCACTATGTATATAAAGAGAAGTTGATATCCAGGAAATGGCTCACAGTTGTAGCCAGGAGAGTCCCAAGTACAGACCAGGTGAACCAACATCAGGAAGCAAGTATTTCTTGCATGTCCATTATACAGGGAGGAGGCCACACCATCAAGGAAACATCCTTTCAATTGATTGGCTGCTTATAGCCAATCATATAGCCAATCATCAGAGTTAACTTCTTGTTGTTAGGTGCTGTCAAGTCAGTACCGACTCTTAGCGACCATAACGACACTGCCCAGTCCTGCACCAACTTCACAGTCTTTGCTATGTCGGAGCCCATTTTTGCTGCCACTGTGCCAATCAGTCTTGTTGGGGATCTTCTTGCTCTCTGATCCTCCACTTTACCAAGCATAATATCCTTCTCCAGGAACTGGTCCCTTCTGATAATATGTCTGAAGTATGAGAGACAAAATCTGGCTGTCCTGGCTTTCAAGGAGCATTTGGCTGTACTTCTTCCAACACAGATTTGCTTGTTCTTTTGGCAGTCCATGGTACTTTATATTAATATTCTCCTCCAGCACCATAACCTTAAATGCATAAATTCTTCTATGGTCTTCCTTATTCACTGTCCAACTTTCAAATGCATATGAGGTTATTGAAAATACCATAGTTTGGGTCAGTCTCACCTCAGTCCTCAAATTAACATCTTTGCTCTTCAACACTTCAAAGGTCTTGTGCAGGAGATTTGCCTAATGCAATAAGTTATTTGATTTCTTGACTACTGCTTCCAGGAGTGTTGATGATGGAGCCGAGCAAAATGAAGTGTTTGACAACTTCAGTCTTTTCTCCATTTATGTGGATGTTATTTACTGGCCAGTGGTGAGGACTTTTCTTTTGTTTACATCGAGGTGAAACCCAAGCAGAAGGCTGTGGTCTCTGATCTTCATCAGTATTTTAAGTCTTCTTCACTTTCAGCAAGCAAGGTTGTATCGTCTGCGTATCACAGGTTGTTAATGAGTCTTCCTCAAATCCTGATGCCACATTTTTCTTCATATAATCCAGCTTCTTGAATTCTTTGCTCAGAATACAGATTACATAAACACGGTGAAGGAATACAAACCTGTGTGCACCTTTCCTAATTTTAAACCATTGCTGTTGATCCTTTGTTCGGTTCAACCAACTGCCTCTTGGTCTATGTTTAGGTTCCTCATGAGCACAATGAAGTGTTCTAGAATACTCATTCTCCATAGTGTTGTCCGTAGCTTGTCATGATCCACACAACTGAAAGCCTTTGCATAGTCAGTAAAGCATAGGTAAATATCTTTCTGGTAGTCTCTGCTTTCAGCCAAGATCCATCTGATGTCAGCAGTGATATTCCTCATCCCACATCCTTTTCTGAATCCAGCTTGCATCTCTGGAAGTTCTCTGTTAATGTATGGTTACAGCTGTTTTTGTATTATCTTTAGCAAAATTTTACTTGTGCTGTTTTTGTATTGTCTTTAGCAAAATTTTACTTGCATATGACTTAATTATATTGTCCGATGATTTCCACCTTCCGTTGGGCCACCTCTCTTTGAAGTGGTCACAAATATGGATCTCTTCCAGTCAGTTAGCCAGGTAGTTGTCTTCCAAATTTCTTGGCAGAGATGAGTGAGTGCCTCCAGTGCTGCCTGATTGTTGAAAGATTTCCATTTTTATTCCATCAATTTCTTTGTTCTTTGCCAATACCTTCAATGCACCTTGGACTTCTTCCTTCAGTATCATTGGTTCTTGATCATGTGCTACCTCTGAAATGATTGAACATCAACTATGTCTTTTTGCTATAGTGATTCTGTGCATTCCTTGCATCTTCTTTTAAGTGTTTTATTGTGAATTATGTGATAGTTTACGTAAGAGAATATTAGCTTTACATTCATCCTGTTGTATATTGTTACATCCATCTTCTTTTGATGCTTTCTGCATCGTTAAGTATTTTGCCCAGGAAATACTTCAGTACTGCAAGTTGAAGCTTGGATTGTTTTTCTTCAGTTCTCTCAGCTTGAGAAATGCTGAGTGTGTTAACTATCAACTGCCAAACAACTGGGAATCCTGGCTCAATCAAGTTGACATAGAACCTTAACTGTCACACCCCCTTTCCTCTGCCCATCCTCCATTGAATCCTGAGCAAGACCCAGGATATGCTGGATAAAGGGGGAGAAGAAGGAACAAAAAGACTGGCGGGGGAAGAGGGAGTGATCATGTGAAGATATCATGTGTATCATCCACGTGCCTAGCCTACAGAATTACTGCTAATTCAGCTCTTTCCAGAATAACAAGAGAAGACAATGCTCATCTGGGCATCACTCTTGTGAATGTAAACATGATGTGAAGGGACCTGGTCTTGTTGAATGGGAGAATGATGAGGCTGTCTAGTCCTGTAAAGATTTAGTCTTGGAAACCGAAGGAGCAGTTCTATTGTTTCCTACAAGGTCACTAGGAGTTGGAATCTACTCAATGGCAGTGGGTAAACCTAGAACTCAAGCTAACAATGAAGGCGGCTCACTAGCTTCTGCCACTTCACCAACCAGCACCATGGCCAGTTCTCTGGTTTACTGGATTATAGGGTTTGGTACCTGGTTAGTTGCAGCTTTTGGCTAAGTCTTTGGATGTCTTATGGTTGGTGGTGGTTATGTGCCATGGAGTCAGTTCCGACTCATAGTGACTCTGTACAGGGTTTCCAAGGCTGTAAATCTTTATGGGAGCAGAAAGCCTTATCTTTCTCCTGCAGAGCAGCTGGTAGTTTCGAACTTCTGACCTTAGGGTTCGCAGCCCGATTCATAACCACTACGCTACCAGAGTTCCTCTGCATGTCTTATAGGGGAATTGAATCAGAGAATTCACTGTTGGGTCAGGTATTGTTTGTGTTTGCACATTCTTTAATGTTTGGGCTCAGCACGAAGAGCCAAGATTTTAATACTGAACAAGTCATTAGATTTAAGGAATCTTGATGTGGTGGTGTGGTGGATAAGCACTGGACAGCTAACCACTAGGTCGGCAATTCAAACTCACCATCTGCTTCTGGGAAAGTCTATACACGTTTTCTATGAGTGGGAACTGACTTGGTTGGCACTTAACAATTATGGCATGTTGAGGGAGTGCTAGTGGCGCTGTACGATAAGCACTGGACTGTTAATCACAAGGTCTGTGGTTTGAGCTTACCATCCACTCTGTAGGAAAAAGGTGAGGCTTTCTGTTTCCATGAAGATTTATAGCCTGGGAAACCCTATGTAGGGTCACAAGGAGTAGGAATCTACTAGATGGCAATAAGTTAATGGCATGTAAAAGAACCCTGGTGGTATGGTACTTAAGCACTCAGCCGCTAACTAAAAGGTCAGTGCTTTAGATCCACTAGCCACTCTGAAGAGTCTTGGTGTGGCACTGTAGGATAAGCGCTGGACTGCTAATCACAAGGCCGGTAGTTTAAAGTCACCAGCCGCTCCTCAGAAACCCTCTATTGGGTCACTATGAGTCAGAACCAACTGGATAGCACTTAACGGAACAGCAGCAGCAGTCATTCTAAAGGAGAAAGATGGGGCAGTCCACGTCTGTAAAGACTGGTGTTGTGAAATGCTCTCGAGTCTGTTCCAATTCATAGCCACCCTGTACAGGGTTTCTGAGAAAAAGCTGGTGAGCTTGAACCACCGACCTTGCGGTTCAAACCGAGTTTGCAGTCCAGCACATTAATCTGAAGCTCCACACCAGGAAACCCGCACGGCAGTTCTGTCCTGTTCTAGGGTCCCTATGAGTCAGAACTGACAAGACAGCAGTGGATACACAGTGTGTAAGACTGTAATCTCTATAGAAGCAGACTGCCACATCTGTTTCCTACAGAGTTGCTGGTGAGTTTGAACCACTGATCTTTTGGTTAGCAGCGGAGTGCTTAACTGTGCACCACCAGGGATCCTGTGAAGCCCTTTGGGGAAGCTCTCCTCTGTCCTACAGGGTCACTGTGAGTGAGTCAGCTCCACAGCAATGACTTTGCTCCTTTGTATTGGCATGTAGGCAGTGCCCTGGGCGGCTCAAGGTTAAGTGTTGGACTGTTAACTGCAAGGTTGACAATTCAGACCTACCCAAAGGTACTTCAGAAGTAAAGTCTGGCGATCTGCTTCTAAAAGGTCACAGCCTTGAAAACCCTAAGGAGCAGTTTTACACTGCACCTCAGGGTGTCGTCACAAGTCAGCACCAAACTGACAGCAGCTAACAACAGCAGCGGCATTTCTGTTTCTCGTTCTAGTGAACGTGCTTCAGGAAGATATGTGCCCTCGCACCCCAGGCACGGAGGAGAGGAAGTGGAATACTATCAGTCAGAGGCTGAGGGACTCCTGGAATGCCACAAATGCAGATACCTGTGTACTGGGCGAGGTGAGCTAGCCTATAGGCTATTCAACCCTTTACCTTCATTTGTGGTCCTGGAAGGGGTAGCTTAGCTGGTGAAGCAAGAAGTCAAGCTCACTTTTCTGTTTGGTTCCTAGTAGTTTCATTTCCACTTGGATGAGGTTTGTGTTTTCTAAAAGAAAAAGATTAGAATGTCTCAATGGCACACCTAGATTTCCCACGTTCCTCCTCAAACATACCCAGGGCCTGGTAGGGAAACTTTCAGGCTCCAGGTAGAGCTTGGGGTTTGCAGGTGAAACTGGCTGAGAGCTGCCAGCTTTCAGAGAGGGACTTTGGCAAGGCGGGTCTGGCCAAGCCACACGATCGATCAAAGTCAGATAGTGCCTTTGGAGATCTGCTGCCCAAACACTGGGTCTGAAACTTTTCTGACTGAGACCCAGGGAAGAAATATATTTTATATGAAGACAAAGAATACCTACACACACACTGACTAGCAAAAGTGTCATGGAATGCTGTACTTAACCCATGACATACCAAGTGCTCTAGTGTTTTCTGTTCTGTTCCATTAAACAAACACAAAACAGAAACCACACTTGTGATGAGCCACAGTTTGGAAAACATCCAGTAGGCAATACAGTAAAACCTGTGCATGTTGAACCTGTGTCAGAGAAGGAAAACTCAAATATTTTACATAAATAAAAAGGAGCTCTGGTAGCGTAGTGGTTACGAATCGGGCTGCGAACCTTAAGGTCAGCAGTTCAAAACTACCAGCTGCTCCGCGGGAGAAAGATGAGGCTTTCTACTCCCTAAAGATTTACACCCTCGGAAACCCTGTACAGGGTCGCTGTGGGTCGGAACTGACTCGACGGCACTTAACAACAACAACAACAAAGAGGATCAGCACTGGACAGCTATAACCACAAGGTCAGCAGTTCAAACCCACCAGCTGCTCCTTGGAAGATCTATATAGGGTTGCTATGAGTTGGAACTTACTTGATGACATTTAACAAACAGCAATAGAGAATCACAGAAAAGGGGTAAGACTGCATCCTATCAAAGGCGGAAAAGTTGGGAAACCAGGAAAAGTGAGGCAGTCTCATCAAGATCGACTCTCACAGATTCCAGGTGTGGGGCTCCAAACACCTTCCATCCTAGGCCTGGCCTCACCTGGCCAGCAAGGAGGAAAATCTGGTTTGTCAGGGTGAGTTGAGCCCTTATAGCTCACATGATCTGATGAGACACTTTTTAAACTGCGCATGACTAATGGGCAAGCCTTCCAGCCTCAGGGAGAGAAATCAGAGCTCCTACCTGAAAACATAGTTTAGGATGACACCACTGATGAATGCGATTATAGGATTACAAAGGACTTTTCATTAAAGGGCCCTGGGCAGTCCAGGTACAAGGATCCTCCCTCTGGTTTACATGTGTTGGCACCACCTCATTGCATGTAATTCTCTTGACTCCTGAGGTTCAAAGAGGTACATCTAAAATTGAACCGGAATTTGATTTAAGGCCTGCAATGATTTTCATACTTGACCTTTCTCTTCTCTTGATGCTATAAATAACAGAAGTAAGTCCTAGGCTGCTTAGCAGATTCTCCAGAGATATATATATATTTTTTCTCCTGTGGTTGATTTACCAACTGGAGAGAGCAGGGTTTGAGAGTTCTGACCAGAACACACCTTGATTTAGCTTTGATTACTTCTGGCTAATTGGTTTTGAAGGAGCCCTGGTAGGTCTTAGATTACGAGCAGGGCTGCTGATCACAAGGTCACAGTTCGAATCTATTCGTTTCTCTGAGTCTTTCTGCTACCATAAAGATTTATAGCCTCGGAAAACCTGTGAAGTAGCACACAACCACCACCAACTGGCTGTGAGCCTGGAGGTTGGGTTTCTAAGTCTAGATGGGGAGGAGATGGTTCTGCACTGGAAGCTAACAAATGAAAGCTTATACAGAACTCTGCACCCACGGAACACACAATACTGCATTGTTTGGGGAGAAACCATCATTAAACACCAGAGCTTGTCTCAAGCAGGAAATAAATGCCTGGATAAAGGTCACCAGAAGATTCTGAGCCTGTCTTTTGTGACTTCTTTTCCTTATCGGTGAAGCCATTTACTCTGTCAGCAAACTTGTGCAAGTGTGAGGCAGCTGTGAGCCTCCCCAGCTTCCCAGGGAGGCCCTGAAGTGTGGGCTGATCCACTCAGTGGAACACGGAGCCCCCCAGTCACATGAGAGGGTCCCATATCATTTGAGGAGCATGATTCCTCACATGACAGAATAAATATCAGACAAAAACTAGTGTAAATGCCACCATGCATGTGACAGGTCACCTGGGGATTCTGTATGGATGTAGCTTGTACTTATTTGTTATTTGGGCTGCAGGTGAGGAGGTACTAGCATCCTGGTAACAGTGGCTGTTGTTGTTGTTGTAAAGTGCCGTTGAGTCAATTCCGACTCATAGCGACCCTATATAGGGTTTCTGAGGAGTGGCTGGTGAGTTTGAATCGCCAATCTTGTTGTCCAGTGCTAGATGGTACACTTCTAGGCTCCCCTTCCTAGTCCTCCCAATTTGCATTTGGAACAGCTTTTCACTTCCTCTCTTCCCTCTTTAGCTGTATAGCGCTCAAATCATGCTCATTTGTATTCAAATTCCAGCCTTGACTTAAATTTCTTTTTCTCCCAAGGAAGTTGTAATCTCTGTGGTCAGTAATTCCTGTCTCACACACAGCCTTGAGATTTAGGTCCCAAAAAACTTTAGCTTTGGAGGAGTTGAAACTACAGTCCCTCAGAGCCAGGAAGGGAAAACAGATGGTTTTCCACAGCTGGGAGCCCCCAAGTGCTACAAATGGCTAAGTGCTCACCTGCTAACTGAAAGACTGTAGGTTTACCACCACCCTGTGGAGCATGGTTCTACATGGACATATATGGGGTTGCCATGTGTCAGAACACACTCAATGACAACTGGTTTTCCCACTGACAAGAACATTGACTTGTAATCACAAAGGAAAGGGTCAAAGTGGACGCTGTAGGGTTTTTGTTTCATTTTGTTCCCAAATCTCCTCTTAAAAATAACTATTTAATACCCTAATTCAGTGCTTTTCTAGACTGAGCTTTCTTAAAGATTTCGAATCACTAAGGAGCTCTGG